CTCCCCGCACAACCCCCCAGGCCCGGGCTCCTCCACTGTTTCCCTAACCTTCTAAAAATGCAGCCTGAAGTGTGTTGTAATCTCTGGGCGAAGGCCTAAGAGTCAGTGACCTCCTCGGTGCTAACCCAGATTTGATGTGAGATCAACAGTGAGTCATTAGCCCTTTTTTTCGCGTCTCAGTTTCCTCTAGGAAAAATGACCTGTCATTCTTTCATATCTTCATATGAAAGATGCTCCGCCGACTAGGTTACATCAGCGTCTTCTCGCCAGGGGAAAGGCAGAATTTAGACAGTGCAGCTCCGTGAGTAGACCCCAGGGGTCGCTGTGGAGACACTGAGGGCTCCGGGTCCCTGGGCCAGGTTTAGAGGTCCCCACCTGTCCCTCTAGCTTAGCAAAGCCCGGCCTCCACGGGATGGGGGCGCCTCGGGAGAAGCTTGCAGAGAGCTGGTCTCACTTGGCAACAAGGACCGCCTAACTGCTTCAGCTATAAACAGCATCTTTCTTCCAGTCTTTGAAAAGTAAAAGAAGGAAAGGAGAGGAAATCCTGAAAGAATGTGACCTAAGTTAAATGGAACCACAAGTTAGGCACTACAGTTAACACAGGCAATCGTACAATTAAAGCTGCAGAAATTAAAGTTTGGTCAATCGTGTATTAATAACTCAATCGTGGTAGAAGTCAAAGGGTCAAATCTGCCTGTCTTTGATTTTTCTCTTTCTTTCTCACACCTCTGCACACACAGAATCCTAAAAAGTAAACTCCCTGAATATAAAGCAGAAATACTACTATGTTCCAGCAATTGCTAATATTGTCTTTCATTGGGCAACTGGGCAATAGTCCAGCAATCTGTATCGAGAAAGACGTGTCCATGAATAGAATCTTAAGTCCAAATTCACCAAAACCATAGGGCTCTTGGTATTCATTCTACATTCCATGATTTCACTTGGAAAATTACGGGGGGAAATAGACAAAGTGATTGTTTGTTATTAAATGTTCAACATTTGTGGGAAACAATCACAAAGGAAACCTCACTGTGATGTCTCGGGCTGTCGATTTGAGTTTATCTAATTCAGTACGATAGAATAAACCAACACAATTATTTACTTTCTTCAGTTGCCTCGGTTGGAGAATCTACTCTTCATGAGCATGAACTGCTGGTCTTCCTTGCAAGGAAAATCCGAGACACTTCCTCACTTCTTTTTGCTCTGTTTGGACTAACATCACATTTGCTGCTGCCTGAAGTTACTGATAGGTGGGGCAACATCATTATTTAGGCTAAATGAATGGGGAGTTTTGACGTCTTCAATTCAGGTGCTTGAAGATCATAATAATAGTGTGTATACCACACAAACTGGTCCAATACATACTCCCGCTTAATTAAGAGAGCTTTCTGATTATCTTTCTATTCAATGCTCTCATGTTAATGTCCTTTTGATCATTCAGTTATTTTATTTTTAGGATATTACTTTTAAAATGGTACTCCTAGCAGAACTGAATAACCCAAAATAACTAGCAGGCTTACTAGGGCTTCTCAACATGCACATTATTGACATTTGGGCCTGGACAATTGTTTGATGTGTGTGTGGTGGTGGTGGTGGTTGGGGGGACTCCGTCCTGAACATTTTAGGGTGGTTAGTTAGCAACAATCCCTGGCCTCTACCCAGTGAGTGCCAGAAGCACCCCTTCCCTACCAGTCATGACAACCCAAACTGTCTCTACACATTGCCGCAGGTGCCCGGGGAGGTGGGGGGAGGGCAAAATCACCCCCTGTTAGGACCCCAACACTGCCTAATTTGTGATGATGAAAAAAGTAAGAGGAAAGATAGAAAATGAAACTCTCTCCTTCTTTTCTTGATTGCCCAAGCCTCTACAGATTTTAACTGTCAATCACTTGGATTCTTATCCTAGTTAATGGAATCACCCCCCAAATTTCTAAAGCTTTGTGCAGTGTCTTTCAAGTCGATGTGCCCTGAACTTCAAATGGATTGTCAAGAGGACTAGATGTCCACTAATTCCCACTGGGTAAACTATCGGTAAACCTTAGCATAACTCCACTTTGAGCCTTAAACTAACAGCATGTGAGAAGATCAATATGAATAAATTCAAAACTAATCAGACCCCTTCTTTAAATGTTGACACAGTATTATTTATATCCCATAAATACCTTCTTGACTAAAATTCATACTAGGAGATTGGCACCTGGCCAGTTCTATTCATATTTACTATATTTATACAGTATGCTGGGCCAAGGATAATATTTAAAACAAAATATGCCTGAGGGCATATACAATATCTCTTATATTTTTACTTTTAAATCTCCACATTGCTAAAAATATTTAGTCTGAACTGTATAAAATGTCCCACAAAGGGCTATCAGCAATCTGTAATGATATATAGCTCATTGAGTATAATTAGAGCATATTTGTAATATTTGAGATGAAATCACTCCCTGAACACTACTAAGTTGGTGGTAAAAAAATGAACCAGTGATCTTTCCCATGCCTTCATCTCTGGGGCTTATGACCCTTGCCGGATTCGCTGCAAGAAATGACAGGCACACTCCTCCCCACAGCGACTTCGGTGACGCCCGAGTTAAAAGCTGGGTGGAAAGTCCTAAAGAGGGAAAGCTGGTATAGAAGCCAATGCTGTACTTTCAATTTGCTCTTTAAAAATATGGTGGAGTGATTTCTTCTTTTCTTCCTTTTTTTTGGAAGGCTTCACCATATTCCAGTATAACTAGAAAGTGCTGGAAAATCAGTTAACCTACTTTCTATAAAATTATTCACAGCCCTTGCACAGTAGTATCGAATCTGCTCTTAATATGGGTTTCTGCTCCGAAACGTCCACAGAAGGCTGTATTCTTTGTATGAAAACTGATAGGGGATTTATTTATTTATTTATACATACTGGACTTATCAGAGCTTTTAGTCTATTTGGTGGCCATAGGGGGGATGGAGAAGACAAGCCACAGATCTTCAGTGACATCCTCTGAAATCCCATCAAGCTGAGAATTTTTCCAATTTGGTGATCGTCATCATTCTGGATTGGATCATCTCCGCAATTCAGACTGAGATGTGCCAGAAAGCACAAAGAATCAGCACCCTCGGAGGTAACTTGCCCTCTCCATACCTGTCTGATGAGGCGGTGGAGATCTCCTGTCTGTTATAACAGGGCTGGCAATTCATTTGAACTTTCGCAGGGAAATACGGTTCAGAGTCTCTATAACCTCCCTACCCGCCTGCCCAAATACCAGCAGAACAGATAACACGTGCTCGAGAAAGCTCACTGACTCAACTTTCTGTTTGGTCTCAAGCGTTCTGGACCAATTACAGTGAACTTTCTTTCCTAATACCTCCTTGGCTCCACCCCAGGTAGAAAGCTTTACTTCCTGAGGGGAATAACCAGGGCGTAGGGATTTATCACCGAGGTCGGTGCCTAAGTACAATAATAAAACCATCCCACATCTGCTCTGCTCTTGAACAAGAAGTGGAGAAGCCGCAGCCCAAGAAAGGGGCCCAGGAAGGCTGGGGTTAGATACACGGGCTGACATTCTGAGACCCCAAGTACAAGACACGGGAAAAGTCGCAGAACTAGGACTTGTCAGACTAAAAAGAGATATTTATAGAGGGAAAGGACCACCCTGCGATTAGAGCCTCTAGGACAAAACTACTAAGATGGCCATATTATCTATTTAGGCAAGACACAGAGACTTTGTGAAGGCAGCCAGCAAGTATATAGGGCATGGAAAGGGGAGGAGAGAAATGGGCAACCAATGAAAAGTTTATGACTGGGGATTTGGAATACGAAAATGTAGAAGCTTTTTTTCTTTTTCTTCTTCCTGGTATTTAACCCTCTCAGGTATCACTGGAGGATGATGCTTCCTCTTTTTTTCTTTTTTTTCTCTTTCTTTCTTTCTTTTTTTTTTTTTCCTTAAGAACTTGGATATCACTCGCAGCTAACTGTCCTCATCCCTACCCAACCCCCCCCCCCAGGGCCTGCACGATCAATCACTTCCCTCCTGCTGCTACTGTATGCCAGCTGCCCTCCGAGAAGCCAGTTTAAAAAAAAAAAATCGGCTGTCTTCTGCTCTATGTGAGATGCAGGAACGCACCAGGGTTACTGCGAGGAAGCCCATGAGAGGGCAGGGAGCCGGGGGCTCGAGGGTTGGAAAGATCAAGGGTAAAGCCGGGAGGAAAACGACCTGCCCCACCAGCGGCCGGTCTGCAGACAGGTCTGAGTGGATTCTGGAAACTAACGCGGAGTAAAACCCTTTTCAACACCGTCAGAAACGAAGTCGTCCTTTCTACCCCTCCAGGTGAAACCAAAAGGACTCCCCTCGGGGGGCCTGTAAACACCCAGCTGCGGCCAACAGATGCAAGAGCCGAGGGCTCCGGGGTGTTTTTCGAGGGGTCTCCCAAATCGGGTTCTGTGTTGGCGATGCTGACATTTTTAGGGGCGTTAGAGACAATAGCGAAGGCTTGGGGGGGGAACCCGCTGATAGGTCGGCCCGGAAAGGGGCGCCTTCCGGAGAGGCTAGCTGTGAGCCACTTTTTTTTTTAACCCTTCGTGCGCCGGATCGGCGGGCTCCACGCCACCCGGAGCCAAAGAAAACAAGCCCACCGAGACCTCCCCGTTTAACCGTGCCCTGGGGAGCGCCTCCCGTTTGACTGGGAAGGGGGGGGGGGGGCTGACTCCTGGCTGGTGGCCGAGGAGAGACTTTCGGGGGCCAGAAGGGCAGAATCGCGCCTCGTTACAGGACCGAGGCGTTGGAGGGGGGGTGGGGAGGGAGAAATGGAGAAAATTAAGTCGAAAGTCGCCGACTGCAAGTCTAGCGTTCTCAGGCACACACGACTGGCAAGGAGGTGGGTGGGACGAAGGACGGGCGAGGGGGGAGCGCAGACGGGGACCCGGAGCGGGAAGGGCGAACCCTGGAGTCGTGGCGGCCCCGGGAGCCTCGGGCAGCGCTAAGCCTCGGGGAATGGAAGCGAAAAGCAGTACTTACTTTCCGAGGGGAAGAAGGGCGGCATGTCTATTTTGTACACCTCCTTGGCGTAGTACTCCTCGTCGCTCCGCTCGCGCTCGCAGGCGGCCGCCCTGCGGCTCGCCTTCTCCTGGAGCAAGTCCCTGGTGCTGTTGTAGATGGAGATCACCTCCGGGGGGACCTCCTCGGGCTCGGGATAGTCTTCCGGGGGGCTGGTGAGCTTCAGCTTGCTGAGGATCTGCCCGCGGATCGCCTCGATCCTCTTGCGCATGAACTGGTCCATGTCGAGCGTGCTGCAGGTAGACAGGCTGAGCGCGGCCGTGACCAGATGCAGGATCAGAAAAGCGCTCAGCACACAGTAGTGCATTTTTTTAAAGGTGGAAAAAGTAAAAAAAAAAAAAAAAAAAAAAAAGTAAAAAAATAAAAACCGAAGGGAGGAAAAAAAAAGAAACCGACAACTCTCAAGTACAGATCAGGTAGTTTTGTTTTTTTTTTTAATGCGAAACTTTTGCAAACAATCGAGAGTCAACGTCCAATAGAAAAAGGTATCTTGCTTGAGTTCCTTTAAAAAGAAAATGCAGGTCGTTCCAAAAGTGGAAATATTAACACACGGTGGGCAGGGAGAACCCTAACTTGGGGGAGTAAGAAAAAGTTTTCTTGGAGCGACGAAATGGGGGGTGGAAAAAAGACGAGTGGCTATTAGGCAGGAATAAATTTAAGAGGAGGCAACGGAGTTCAGTGTGTCAGTTTCGGGCGCGGAGTGGCGGATCTGAACTCGGCTCCTGCGGCCAAAAGGGAAGAGATGAAAAGGCCCCGGGGCTGGCAGCCGGCGCGCTGGCGGGAGGGGCGCCGGGAGCGCGGTGCGGGGGGCCGCCGAGGCCGGCCGGGCGGTGATTTAGGTATTTAAAGAAGGAGCGGTCGGGCCCTGCCTTCCACTGCGGCGCTGAGAGCAGGAGCGGCCGCGGCTCCGGAGCGGAGAGCGCACACGTGTGTGAGTGTGTGAGTGTGTGAGCGAGAGTGTGCGCGCGCGCGCGTGTGCGCGCGCTGGGGGCGAGCCCGGCGCGCCGCGGGCAGGCGGGTGCGCTCCGCACGGCGCTCGGCGCCCGGCCGGGTCCTGCGCGGGCGGCGGCGGTCCTGCTCCGGGGCTGCTCCCGGAGCTGCGCGCGGTGGCCGACACCCCGGCCGGCGCGCGCCGACCCGCCCGGCTACTCCACGTCGTGCGGCCGCTCGCAGACGCGTCCGGCGTCCGGCGTCCGGCGCGCTCCTTCGCCCGCTCCGCCTTCTCCTCTCGCGGCGGACGCCGACCCCCCGCCGCCGCCGGCAGCTCCGGGGGCGCGCTGACTAGGGGGTGTTATTCCTTACGGGGGCTGCGCGGGGAGGGGGGGGGTCCCTTGGACTCCCTCCCTTCCCCACCCTCTCCTGGGTGCTCGCCCTCTCGGACTCTCTCGCTGCGGGTAGGTGGGCCCTTGGCACCCTGAAATAGACCCTGCGCTTCTCCGTTGTGCAGCCAGGCAGCTGCTCACTGTCCCGAAGGGCTCCCTGGACCGTTATACTACGTCCTCCATCCCTGTCCCCATGTCTCCGTCACTGCGCTCCCGCTCTTCTCTCGATTCCTCTCTGTGCCCCTCGCTCTCCGTCTCTGCTTCTCTCTCCCTCTGCCTCTCTCTGCCTCTCTCTGTCTCTCTCTCTCTCGGTCTCCCTCGTCGGGAGCTTCGGGAGCTCCCCTCGGAGCGAACCTTCTGCTGCCAGCAGATAACATCACGATCTTGCCTGGGAGGAGAGATTTATAAGTTCTCCCTGAACCACGTGTTTGCCTTCAACAAAGTGACGTGCTAGGATTACAGTCAGAAGTCCGCTCGTTTACGGAGACCACGAGCTCTCCCCGCAGCGTTGAGGGGGTGTGGAAATGAGGACGGCTGTGGGCAGGGGAGGGAGGAGGTGGAGTGTGCGCACCGACAACAGTGATTTATGGTATTTACTTTATATAGTCATTTTTGGACCCGTCTGTTGAAGGACAAGCTATCAAGCCTCTCGTTTTTACTCAGCGTGGCTCACTCACAGCCTCCCAAAGCGAATCACTTGCTCCAGAATGGCTCACCTCCCATATTGTGTACACACACACACACACACACACACACACACACACACACACACATTCTCTCTCAGCAAATGAGCATCGGTTTACTCCGGATTCACCCAGCCCTGAGACCTGCTTCCAATCTAAGATTCACTTCCTCTTATTTTAGTGGAATTATTTTCTGAGATTCCACCCGACTATTGTTAGTGCCTCTATCCTAAAGCTTATCTTATTATGGTTTGCTGTTTACTGTGTAGTCCTTCATTTGACAGTTAATTGCTGAAAGCATGAAAACAGAGCTCCATCTTTTAAATCTAGAGAATGAAGTCCATTTACTTGTTTCATTCTTTAAATGAATGGATGTGTATCTTCTTACTTGGCTGCCCCCACCACCTCTCGCCATGGCTCAGTCTTCACCATCTTCCAGCTAGACATGAATAACCACCTTCATTCTTTCCATAGCAGACACCCAGGAAGCTGGAATCGTAAAGTGTTTGATGTCTACTGATACGCACTACACATAACTTGACATTTTCTACTTCAGTCTAGTCTCAGATGAGTCCAAGAACGATTCTTGCCACTGTTCACTTTTCCCTTTGTCTTTTATTTTATCTTTAGTTACTCAAAGTCAACATTTTCATTTCATCATGACTGTGGCCATACTGCCTAGCAGATGATTTCAACTGGAAACTCTGTTGGGTTTTCCCCCAAACTTAAATCCCTCGTTCAGATGTTTCTTTCATAATAGAGAGGTCACAAGGAAGTTTAACTTCAGGAATTTACATGGGGATGGGGCCCATATCATGTGTAAATAAAGCTTTGAATAAATAGTCATAATAATAGCGGGCACGTACTACCCTTAGATAGGGAGATGTGTATATATGGTCATTTAATCTTTACAACAACCCTAGAAAGTAAGTATTATAATTGTCTTTATTTTGCAAATGAGGGTACTGGGGTACAGAGAGATTAAGTACCTGGTTCAAGAGCATAGTAGTATGTGGTCCAGGTCGATTTTACAGCCAGGATCCATTGTTTACGTCCTTACCCACTGTAGACTTCTAAGATGCCCTGGGTAGATGGGTACCAGGGTATGTCTGACAAACAAGGATTCCATAGTGAAGTCAGTTTGGGAGATACGTGGGTCCCCACTGCCTCTTGCAGATTCACCAGCCCCATCATCATGTTTAAGGTTCTGAGAATCTTGCAAGGGGAAAAAAAAAAAAACCAAGAAACCCCAAAACTGTTGTGCTCTTTTAATCTAGCATATTTTGAACTCCTTTGAACATGGAATTATTTACCTATGAGGACACATCGGAAAACTCTGAAATAAAGAGACCGTTCCAATCCACTTCTAAACACTTCTGAAAATTATGTATAAATCAGCATTAGCAGTTTCCTCTCCTTGAGGCCAGTTTCAAATCGAAGCAGCTTGAAAAGACTTGGACAACCAGCTGCCATTCCAATAGCCCAAGCAAAATATAATCCAGAGGAGCTACCGTGGGGCTAGCTGCTCGCCCCTTGAGTTCAGTTTGAGAACAGCAATAGTCTAGCTGTACACGAAGGGGGAAAGTGAAAATTCACATATTGAGGCAATTCTATTTTTTTAATGTTTTATTTATTTCTGAGAGAGAGAGAGAGAGAGAGAGAGAGAGAGAGAGACTGCCTGAGCTGGGGAGGTAAGAGAGAGAGGGAGACACAGAATCTGAAGCAGGCTCCAGGCTCTGAGCTAGCTGTCAGCACAGAGCCTGACACAGGGCTTGAACCCACAAACCATGAGATCATGGTCTGAGCTGAAGTCAAAGTCAGCAGCTTAACTGACTGAGCCCCCCAGAGGCCCCTATTGAGGCAATTCTAGAAAGTAGAGCAGGCCTTGCAAACAGTTATAAGAGACTGAAGACGTTGCCTTGGGGTATGGCTGCTTACCTCCTTCACTCATACTTCCCCTGCAAATCAGGGAGACTACCTTCTTGGTATAGACACAAACTCACCAGAGGTTAAGTGGATTCAGATTAGAGTGTGGTTGGATTAGCAAAAGTCCACCTACATTACTTCTAGGAAGACAATGTACGCCATAAATACTTCTGACAGCCCTTCCCAACAAAAACATACACATTTAGGTCCACAGTACCTTGTTGAGCACTTATTGCTAACTTAAAAACGCTTTGGACCGCTGGCCTATTCATAATAGACTACTTTTAATTTCCGCCAAAACCCAGGAAGGTAGTAATTTCCATGCCCATGGTGACATGTGGAATGGAGAAGTGTAGCATCTTGAGGTATCAGGAGACCAATCCCTCTCTCAGGTAGAAACCCTTTGAAGATGTAACAGGTTAACTAACACTGTAAGAGATGCCTCCCTGAGAACCATCAGTGGCTCCTTTCTTCTATTAAATAACTCATTTGGAGCCTTTTCATCTCTATATTCAAGAAGTAAACATTCACTAAATTTACTGAGCTCTTATTATGTGGTAGGGACCTTAGTCTTCACGGTTAAAAGAGTGTTTAACCCATCTAGATCATCTTGATTACCTCAAAATGGCATTTAACCTACATAAACGGGTAGGCTCCAGAGTCAAGTTTTCACGAGTTCACGTTTCTGCCACTTTCTAGTTTTGTGATCCTGGCCAAGTTACCCAGATACTGGGTTAGTTTCTTCATCTGTGAAATGGGGAGAATGCATAGGACCCACAGGATTACTGAGGATTAAGTTCCACAAGGTACACAAAAGAGTTCCAGCAAACCTGGCACTTAGTATGTGTTCATTAAATGACCCACCATTTCCATATCCTGTCACATCTTCATTTTTATCCGAGAGTGTCTAATAAAACACGTGTGGCCTCTACTCTTTCTCAGATATATATAGAATGAAAAAGCCAGGGAAGACGCTAGCAAGACTTTGCTTCATGGTTACGCCTCTGAGGAGTTTTGGTAAATCCATTCCCACCCAGGTGTTTTAAACATTATGGTATTTTGCTCCCATTAATCTTAGGAAGAAAGGACAAGAAAATACACTTCAGGTGAATAGAACTCTTAACTTACTGAAGTCCAGTTAGGTTGAAATTCAAGATTAAGGTCTCTTATTATTTACCAACCTAAAATGGACTCCTTTGTTTTCCAGAACAGAGGGGCTGTCTCAACCACTAGCCCTTCTCTGCTCATTAATGGGTCCATTTACTTATGTCATGTGGAATTCCTACAAGATGCTAAACAAATGTTTGATATCAAAACTACTCATCTCTGTCCAGGGTTTTACCCTGTGGGATCAGAGGCAAGAGTTTATGATGTCATAGGTCCTTCCTGACTCTAATGAAAGAATAGCTTCATTGGCAACAACTTAGAAAACTTCCCACAAAGGTTTCAAGTATTAAAAACCAGGAGATAGAGAAAAGAAATCTACAGAACTACTGTGATTGATTACATTTTCTTCCAAATAGTGATACCGGCCAAATGCAAAATAACCCTGGAGTGTGAAAATATTAAGCCCTTTTTGGTTCTTCTAATTTTATATTCGATGCAATTCAGAAACACTGGTCTGTAAAAGTCTTTGTCTAGTGTTCCGTGTGCATTTCTAGAAGTAAACCAATTTCTGCTCTCAGAATAACGAAGTGGAAAGGTTAGTGATTTCCCCAATTTTTATCTCCATGTTGTAGCTGCAGGTTAATCTAAGACAAAGTGATAAGGGCAAAGGAGGGAACACTGGGCAGCAAGAAGAAAGACTGAAAGCGAAGATCAGAGGTGGTAAGAGATAAAGGGATAAACTCAAGAGATAGGGGCGAGACAAAAACAGCACAGCAGAGATAAACACCCTTTAATGATACACTGTGGGAACATTTGTCTTACCCTCCGGAATTATGGTTAGTTGATGGATTACTGCATTGGCTTTTGGACACTTGTATCTCTATAGGTCACCCCATTTCTGCTCTGTGACAGCTCCAGCAGAAGTCTCTCTCAGGGAGGCTGTCTCTCAGTGGCCTGGGCTTTGTCAGCCCCAAGGTCTACTGAAATCTGGTTTGTTTCTGGTGAAGTTCATCCACTAAAATAGCAGTTAGGGACTGATAGAAAGAAATGGACGTTCCGGGACACTTGTCACAGAGCACAGAATGGATACCTGCTCAATAAACTGCTAGTGTTGTTACAAAGAAGCCAGCAGTGAGATTGTCCTTAAGGCTGCGTTTGCTACTGAAGCTTACAGAGTGTCCACGACTCCCCTCACCCACCACCCTACTGGGGAGAGAGGCAGAGAGAGAAGTATTTCAACAAAGCACAAATAAAAACGAAAGAGGAGTAGGGAAAAAAAGCAGGCACACGATGCAGACGAGATTAAGTTCTCATAATTAAAAAACATGAGTATCACAATGTAAAGTGGAATTTCTATTTTCCAAGATATGTCCTCTTCTTAATGAATTTGTCATCATCTCGGAGGGTATCACCGTGTGAAATTCTGAATGTGTATGTTTTCATGAGCAAAGTTACCAACCTATGTCTCAGACAACCTCATCTTTCTGTTGCCTCGATTATCCTGCTACTAAAAAATGAAAACAACAGTAAAAAATCAACAAAGCAGAGTGGTTGCACATAAAAAGAAAACCTGGAGGCAGCTTTCATGTTAGAAGGGAAAACTAGTGAATAATTATTTTAAGAAGCAAATGATAAGTAT